AGTTGCCAGACTTGTGTTTCTTGACGTTCCAAAATCCATGCAATATTCACTATAAAATGTATGCAATGCATAGACAGAAACGTATCGATTCGTTTTAGCACAGGGCATTTCGAAACAAAGCTGATTTAAGTTTACTGCTATTTAATCTGTACATATAGGATTTGCATAATTTATGGTTTCCCAATATTGTTTGTTTACAATATGTTGATGATATATCATCTATTCACAAAAGAAAACGTACATCGAATGTACTACTGAACTCAAACATATAATGTACAACTTTGATAGCTAGATTTGGTTAAATGCCTTTACTATTTTATACCAAAAGTATGCAGTACCTAGTATTATTCTCTAGAAAAAAACGTATTAAAGATCACACTGTATCCTTATAGGATAATGCCATTTCAATCTTTTCAGAATTCAAATACCTTGCTGTCATGCTTGACAGAAAACTGCATTGGATTGTAAATATTAGGTACACAATTAGTCGCTGCGAAAAAAGTATTAATTTATTTAAAATGCTTTGTAAGATGTGGATTGATGCAAATCAAAATATTGTATTGAATGTTCATCAAGCCCGTATTAGATCTATTGTAGATTACTGTTTTTTGATACATGGATCAGCTAGAAACATTAATTTACTTAAACTTGAAAGAAAATTTAATTAGAAGCATTAAAAATTGAATTAAGATTGATAAAAATCACTCCAAATGAAACCACACTGGTTCTATAGAAAATGTCACACCGAGAGTACAGTACGGCTAATATAGGAATGCACAATTGGCGGATTTCACGCCTTGTGCTTGGCGATACAAACAGGTCCAAGTGGTAGTCACAGAACCGTACCCAGATCTCTACGCCGGGCTCTGTTATTTATTATAAAATAATATATTGATAAAATAATTGGCTTTAAGTAGCCAAATAAGAGGCATGCATTTGAATAAAAAGACTTTAAGTTTTTGGCGAGAATTTTATTATAAAACTGTATACTTTATCAAACTAACAAATGTATTTTAAATTACATTTTTTGATAGCTATAAATATACCGGGTGGACCTCCGGTAACTCGATTTCCGTGCAACCAGCCCAATATCCAAGAGAAACTTTTTCTTTTGTAAATATGTGAAAAATTATCAGGAACGGGGATATTGAAAAAGCTTTGCACAGTTTTTAATCCCGGCGATGTTATTAAAAAAACAAGTTGCGCACTTGAACCACTGCGTAATTTTAACACCTACTATGAAATTTTTTTTTTGTGGAAATCTGAATTGCAGTTTTTGTCCTTGTTAAAACATAATGCAGTCTCGCATTTTTTACACACAACATAAGTTTACCTAGATCCTTGGCATAACAACCTGGTAGTTTTCAGCGAAACCTTGTGTTATTCCATATGGGATAATAATTACATTTCTTGATAGCTATAAATATACAGGGTGGAACTTCCGGGAACTCGATTTCCGTGCACCCAGTCCAATATCCGAAAAGCCCATACTCTGATTGGACTGGTAAATGCATTTTGGTTATACACTGTAAAATAATCTAGGTTACTCACAGATATTCAATTAATTATACTAAAGTCGTCCTCTACATCCGCAATGTCGGATTTGCTTTCGCTACTCTACCCTGTGTTCGCGTGTATTATCAATTGGTCTACGTCATCTTATAGGTTGTCCGCAGTCCACATCTCAGTTTCCGTTTTCTCAACAACATGAGTGACATAATTGCGCCACTTTTGCTCTGTGACGCGTGCAAAACCGTCGTCGATCAACTGGCGTACCTCGTCGTTTTTAAAAGTGGTATTATGGGTACCTACATATCGCTTAACTTGGTTCCACACCATTTCTATAGGATTCAATTCGCACTGATATGGAGGAAGCCTTAAAATATAAACATTATGTTGTGAAGCATACTCATCAAGATGATACTTATCGTATTAATCTTTAAAAGCACGCGCTGCTTCTAATAGCTCGGATTTCAAATAACACTCCTCGAAAAAAATGTCTTTTTCCACTAGCCATTCCTTGATTGCAGCTTTATTCCAGGAATTGTTAGGGAATCTCTCTTTACGGGAGTAGTACGATGCATTGTCCATAACAATGACATTCCTGCGACCATTATTTGGTATGATATGATTATATGATATTGCAATGGTCTTTTGGCAAACGTCGTATAGTTCTCAAATAATTATGGCGCCAATGAATAATATCCTCTCGCTCTACCATGATGCTTCTTCGGCCACGTTTCTTATACACAAATCCAATATCTTTCAGAAGTCTGTATAAAGTAGAAAGAGACAACAGCTATATATTCTCATTACCTTGTATGAAGTTATGTATATGCTTTAAGAATGGCGGCAAATTTTTCATGAAAAATTAACAATGAACAATTCTCCGTAGAATACTTCTTACACCCTCGGTATATGTGAATATTCTAGAATTTGATTGACACACCCGTTTTTTAACGGTTTTTTTTGGCGATTTCAACGTTTCACTCTGTTCTTTTTCTTTTTTGAAATTGTAAATGCTTCTTTCGCTAACACCAGTCATCAACGAAGTACGTGTTACAGCAGCACTTACATTAAGTTGTTCCGTATTTTGTAAGAAACACAACACATTTAACACTACGAGTTTAGCACAACCGTTAAATAATTCACCGGATTTAAACTTATGGGACTCCATGCTCTCTGTTGAAACTCTGACCAAATTTTGAAGTATAATTTCGTTTTCCAAAAGCACTTTCACCCCCTACCCATTCTTAGGATGGGTAGGGGGTGAAATAGGGAAAGCTTGGAGTTTGTCAAATACTAATTATGATAAACAAGTTTATAACCATATTAAGGTGATTATGTTAATGATTGTAATTTGTAGCAGAAGTTTTACAAAAGAAATGAAGACCTATTTATAGAAACAACATAAGTGACATACAATAGAAAAAATCTAATTTCTATGAAAGAATTAGAAATTTCAATAATATCTATAAATAATATCATTTCCAAGTTTCCAAATTCTTTCCTAGAAATTATGTAGGTTTTGTCTATTTTATGTAAAACATTAAAACTACAGTATTGTATAATGTTGTTGTAAAGAGGTGTTTAAATGTTACTCTTATGAATATGATTCAATTGTATATCTCATGTTGACGTTTTATATGCAAAATTCATAGTTTTCGTTGTCAATAACTCATAAGTGCCTTTTTATTCTACTGTATACGTATACATGATATAAAATATTTTACTCGTACTACCGGTAGATGCATTTTATCCAAGCCGGTCCTGTGAGACAATGAGCAATCAACAGCTGGAGAAAACCGACAACCCTGCGCGTTTATTCTCCATAAGAAAAGCATTGCCGTATCTTACCCGTACTGCACTCTCAGTGTGACATTTTGTATAGCCTCCGAAAACACACTCTCGTTACGCAGAGAACATCTGACAAGCAAATATTGCCTAAGCCAATATTATCGCAACACGTATAATGTAAAAACAATTAATCAATTAAATACAGTTGATTTAATATCTACATATTTAAAATGGGATAAATCTCGGGATAAAAGAAATAATATACCATATAGTTCAAAAACTCGAACATCGAAGTAAAACACTTCTGTTGTAAGTACATAGTATACTGACAACAAAATTAAATTTAAAATGTCGAATGGATTAGAAGTTCAGAACGTTTTGGGACTATCAGTCCCTCTTCAGTGAACTATTGTAGTACTTGTGTAAATATCCGTAAAACCGATCAGTGGTTGGGTTTCTATTGATGAAACCATCATTGAAAAATGCAGTTAAAGCCAACTTCATAAAGACTTACATGATTGGTGTTCTACTTCTATAAGCGAGTATGGAGAAGATTCTTCTTCTTAATGTGCCTATCCGTTACGAATGTTGACGATCATCATGGCAATCTTATCTGCAGCAGTGCGAAAAAGTTGCACATATGTTGTATTGAGCCAGATTCTGAGCTTCTTTAACCTCATCTTTTTAAGATGTTCTTCTTCTTTCTGGACCTCGTTTTCCAAATATTTTTCTTTGCAGAATGGCTTGAAGGAGAGCATATTTGGATTCATTTCGCATAATATGTCCGAAGAATTTTAACTTTCGATATTTGATGGTGGTGAATACCTCTCGGTTTTTATTTATTCTTCTGAGGACCTCCTCATTTGTGATTCGGTCAGTCCACGGTTTTAAAGTATTCTTCGATATAGCCACATCTCTAATGCTTCCAGTTTTATGCACATATTTTCGTTCAAGGTCCACGATTGAACACCATAAAAAAGGACAGAGAAGACGTAGCATTGCAGCATTCTTAATTTTGTATCAAGAGAGAGGTTCTGACTCTTGAAGATGGCCCCCATCCGATTGTTGGTTGTTGGTCCATTCTTCATTTAATATGGTGCCGAGGGAATTGTAGTGCGTCATTCTTTCTACAGGGGATTGGTTAACTTAGAGTTGAGCTTCTGTTATCCTGTTCTTGCTAATTATTATTAGCTTTGTCTTTTTAACTTTTATATTGAGTCCATATTGTTGATTGTAATACGTGATTTTGTTCATAAAGAACTTGTAGGTCTTCTAAGTTGTCCGCAAATACTATGGTGTCATCTGCATATCTGATGTTGTTTAGCCACTAACCATTTAGAAGAATACCTTTTTCAGTTTCGTACAAAGCTTCGATAAGTCTTCTTTCAGAGTACAGATTGAAGATTAGAGGAGACAAAATACACCCATACCTCATTCCACGCATCATTTTCACATAGTCAGTGTGTTAACCTTCAACTCTGAGATTTGCTGTGTGATTCCAGTAAATATTTCTAATTATTTTTAGATCTTGGTTGTTACTTCCTGCTTTTTTTAGTATTTGCATCATCTTAGCGTGATGTACTCGATGAAGATGCTTACACCTATATTATTTTAAATGTGGTATTTGTTAAGTATAAAGAATTACAAAACATTTTGACTACTTATCTGCTTAAAAATATTTTTACATCTAGACACTTCCATACCTTCAAATAACAACGCCGCATCGTTTTCATGTTGAGAGGTTGCAACGGTCTCAAAGATGCTATCCAAAGAGTTCGCATGAAACTGCCTCGTTGGACCCTTTAGAATAGAAAGTTTTGGAATGGAACCCATAGCCTGAAAAAAAACAAGATTTTAGTAATCTATTTGATATATATTTTGAGATGAGTGTATTAAAATAGAGACTAGTATTCGTATGGATATATATATGCGTACCTCGGAGGTAAAGGACACTATGTCCATTTTTATCGAAATTTAGATTATTGCACTTTTGAATATAACTTTTCTGGCTCTACACATAGGTAAACCATACTATGTCCAGAGACAATTTTACGGCAAGTTACCGACTTTTTAATAAACACCAAGTCCACTTCCAGTCAGAGGTAAACAACACCATGTGGACTTGGTGTTGTTTACCTCTAGTAAATGTGTGCATTGTCATTTACCATCCGGACATAGTGTTATGTACCCTTGTACCTGGCGGAATTGTCATGAACTAAAATCATTGCAACCTTTTTATTTAGATCGCAATTGTGTTAGGTTGATAAAAGTTGTACAATAAGTTCGTTGTTTAATAATTGTAAAATGGATCCTAACTCTCGTGGAAAAATATTATTACAATTACTGTCATGTAATATTCCAAATAAAACAGCACTTACAGGTAAGCTATTGTTTTTTAACACTGATTTTGTTTTTTTCTAAACTCAAATATTTAGTAATGTATATTATTTTGTATAGGGCTCAAAATTTCAAACTGTACATACATTTTTTCTATCTACCGTTAAAATAGAAGTATCAGTTAGTATGTTCTTGTTACTAGTAAAGAATTTCGTCTGTTTTTTTAAATGACCATAATATGTGTTAAATAAATAAAGTGTTAAAAGAAAGGTACAAAATGTAACTAAGTGCAAACAAAAAGGCAAAAAACGTGTAGTAAATGAACAAAATTGGGTCTGTAATGTTCGCAAATCAAAAATATCTGGTGGGAAAGAGTATCTCAGTAAAAAAGGCAAAAACATGCCTGCAAAAATGTTAAAGCTTCCTTGCATGTGTCACATGAAATGCTCTAAAAGATTGCCCCAGAATACGAAAGACAAAAAATTTTCAACTCATACTGGACTGAGACAAACGTTTCAGATGTTAAAAAGCAATTTATCTTCTCATGTGTCGACATCCAACCTACTCTTCGATTAACAAAAAAAGACCTAAATTCTACCAAATCTAAAAATAATACACTACACTACCATTTTACAGTCAACAATCAGCGATTGAGGGTGTGCAAGGTTATTTTTTCAAACACATTTTGTATATCTAATTTAGTAGTAGTAAATATGTTGAAAAAAATTGAGCCAGGAGGTTTAATAAAAGCTGATCAAAGAGGTAGACACACGCTAATCAATAAAACTCCTACCGAAATCATAAATAGTATACATCAACATATTAAATCATTCCCAAAGTGCGAGATTCATTATTCCAGAGAAAGGAGTAAGAGAGATTATCTTGGCATAGAACTTACGATAGAAAAGTTGTATCAACTGTACTTTGATGAATGCAATGAAATACATGTAGATCCAAAGCTCAGAGTAAAAAAGTAATTCGACGCAGATATTTTTAATAAATATTTTCAAGTTTTCGTTTGAAAACTTGGAAACCCGAAATAGACACTTGCGATACATGCAGTACATTCACAGCTCAATTGAAAAATAATCTTACTGCAGATGAACTAACCAGTGAACAGGCTAATCATGATACTCACCTAATTGAATTTAAAACTCGGTATAACTTACAACAATTGGACTTTTTAATAGCTAAAGAGTCACCAAAACACAAAGTATTATCTGGTGATTTGTAAAAATGTTTGCTTTCACAATTGCATTAGTTTCTACAAAAGGAAGCTTTTGTAGAAGCAGTGATTCTTCTGTACAATGTATGATGTGGGACGAATCGAAAGGGTCCGAAGTGCAAATGAAATTTCCTCGTGAATTTTGAAATGGACTGACAATACAATTCCAGGTAGTCAAGTAAAGCACATCACTCTTTGGACCGATAACTGCTATGGACAAAATAAAAATATAAGTGTTATAATGTGCTATTTTTGGATACTGCGTACATACCCTCAAATAAAGACGATCACTCAAAAGTTTTTACTGAAAGGGCACACACATATGGAAGCAGACAGTTTTTATGCTTTAATCGAGAGAAACAAAAAGAAACTCTCCAATTTGGCCATTTTAACACCATGGAACTGGCAACAGCTAGTTAGGCAAACATCAGGTAAATACACAGTGCACAATATGGAACTTGCAGATTTTAAAAACTTCAAAACGCTGTTCGATAAGAAATTGTCACTTAATCATCCTTTTGTAAGTAGAAAAAAGAATGTTAATGAAGATCCTGTTCTACTGTCAACATGTGTTGACTCCTACAAGTCCAACAAGAACACATTGGGAAGCTCTTTTATAAGAAATAATCAAAATACGTATGAAGTGGACTTCATGAGGTAACCAAGACAGCAAGTAACGTTTCCAGCTCAATTAAATCAAGTCTCAGTAAACCCATTACCAATCAGAAAACAAAAGTTTAATGACTTCATTACCTTACTGTCTTTTTCCGTCAGTTTGTCATGCACTTTATCAAAATTTAACACATAGCGATGTAGCCACAAACGATTACCCACAAGAAGATGAAGATGATATGGAGCCTCTTTAACAATTTTGAAACTTGTCGTCTATAATTTTACTTTATTTAACTTTTCTTAATTTAATTATTATAACATTATAATATTTACCACTAATAAAATAATAGTATAGGCTGTTTAGTGTATTTCTATTGTTTATTTCGTAGAGACCTTAACATGCAATGTCACATTATTTAAAAAAGTTATTAGAGGTAAACAACACTATGTCCAACTACACATTTAAAAAAATATATATAAAATGAACGGTAAACTTCAGGTACGTAACACTTCATGGAAGGAAAAACGATTATACACACCACAATAATAATATATTAATCTTGGTTAAATATAAGAAACATTTGAGTATTTACTGATTAAAAATTTAAAAAATGTTAAAACTGCTCTCCTGAAAAAGTAAGAAAATGGACATAGTGTCCTTTACCTCCGAGGTACGGATATATATATATACATATATATATATATATATAATATATATATATATATATATATAATATATATATATATATATATATATATATATATAATATATATATATATATATATCGGAATATCGGAAAAGGAGTACGATCATCAATCCAATATATTATAAGGATCACTCAGACGAGTGGTGGGTTCTTATATCGGTCTCAAGGTGAAGAAATAAAAGACAAAGTTGATAGGCTGCTTTATCTATTTTGAAGACGTTTCGCTTTCGTATTCTGAAAGCATCATCAGTTCATCTAAAAAGTACTATATGAGAACCACACAATCATAGAGAAGATGTTATGTGTTACCTTAAAAAAACGTGTAGCAGTCAATGATATTAACAGATTTGTGAGTAAAACTCAAGTAGATGGACATTATACGCTAATATTGTATAAACAATGAATTAATTAACAACATTTAGCAACCAACTAATTGCTAATTTTTTATTAAGTTGCTAAATGTTGTTAGTTAATTGATTGTTTATACAATATTACCGTATAATGTCCATTTACTTGAGTTTTACTCACAAATCTGTTAATATCATTGATTGCTACATGTCTTTTTAAGGTAACACTTATAACATCTTCTCCATGATTGTGTGGTTCTCATATTGTACTTTTTAGATGAACTGATGATGCTTTCAGAATACGAAAGCGAAACGTCTTCAAAATAGATAAAGTAGCCTATCAACCGTCTATCCAATATATAATAAGGATCACTCAGACGAGTGGTGGGTTCAAATATCGGTCTACTAGGTGGAGAAATAAAAGACAAAGTTGATACTACTTCATCTATTTTGAAGACGTTTCGCTATCGAATTCTGATAGCATCATCAGTTCATCTAAAAATTTTACAATATGAGAACCACACATTCATGAAGAAGATGTTACATAGTTACCTTAAAAAGACATGTAGTTGTAAATGGTATTAAAAAGTTAGTATAAAAAAAAGATAAATGGACATCATATGGTGATATTGTATAAACAATCAAATAACTAACAACATTTAGAGACTGGAGACTTAGAGACTTTTATATAATATTAACTAGTGATAAAAGAACTAAGAAAATCATCGATTCACTTCCAACTATGAAAGAATTATTTTATGACTTCATCTTAACTTTTGGTAGCATTATTTAAGTTATCTACATTGAGATATAAAAAATATATATAAAAAAAATAAAGTTGAATGTATATATCATATATATATATAATATATATAAATATATATATATATATATATATATATATATAATATATATCATATACACAGATGCGTAATTCAATTGTGCGAGTCACGTTTGTCATGATATAGTGCAATGTAAAGAGAATTTATTAATACAAATAGCTGTCACTGGAGGAGGTAAAAAAAATCGAGCTTAGACAAGGAAGGAAAGATGAAACAATAATATATATATATATATATATATATATATATATATATAATATATATATATATATGTATAAGAGATAGCAGTTTGAATTCGTCTAAAAAGAGTTTATTATCATTAAAATTCTACAATATAAATTATTAACAATAATATTATAACTAACATAACTTAACAAATATACAAACCTAAAAAGAGAATCAAGAACAATGCTATTTCTTACGCCATTAAGTAATTTGACAATACAATTTAAAATATGTCAATGTCAATAAAACTTAAACAGTCATACAACCTAAAACTTTAATTAACTAAAAATAACTAAACCCTGCTGTTTAATTTAAAATAAACATAGGTTTACTTTTACATATGTATATATATATATATATATTATATATATATATATATATATATATGTATATATATATTATATATATATATATATATATATATATATATATATATATATTATATATCCACAAGGTGGAGCAAAAAGACAAAGAAGGTGGCTACTCCATCTATTTATTTGAAGAAGATTTGTCACTAAAAGATTCAATTCGTAACGATTGT